AAGGGTGTGGCACATAAACTCCTTTGGCCAGAGGACAGCTGAACCTGGAGCCTTACTCTAGCTTGTTCAGACTCTATAATAAATGATGCTAAAGGAAAAACGATTTGCTAATGAGTATGCGACACTCTTTCTGCAGGTTCTACATTGGGCAGATGGTAGAGTTGTGGAGGCTGTGTTCTGGGCCCTTTCCACCAGCCAGTCACTCTGTATAGATTCTACACTCTAGAGCAGCAGTCTCCTCCTCTGTCACGGGTCAGAGGTGGCTTAGAAAGTATGGACCTCGTTCTTTCTTTGTACACACGTTTGTTATGGAGAGCAGTGAAAGAAGTGATCACACTTCTAGTATGGTATTGTGGTAACCGACAGCTCTAGATTTGAGTTCCAGCTCTACCGTGTACTGCTGGAATCTCATGGAATTCACTTAAGGTCTTTGGTCTTCATCTACAAAACTGGAACAGAAATGCATCTCTTGACTCCAAACCTTATTAAAAAAAAAGATAACATACCGTATACAAAATACAAAATACTGGACATACTTATGCTATGAAATGAATATTCAATGAGTTCATGTTTTTGCATCTTAAGAGGTGGAACTAGAAAGATAAGTGTAAATAAAAATGTAACAGAAGATCCTGATGTATGTATTTAAGAGATTTTATAATAAATTGGGGGGAAATGAAGAATACCTTATTTTGTGAATCTCTAAAAATAATACCAGCTGTGACCTTTCATGTTTACTGAACTTGTCCTTCTACTGAAATCAGAGCTAACGAATTAACTACAACACCTTCCAACATGGAGGATGCACCCAAAGGAACTCTCTCCTGTTAAAAAGTAGAGAATTCTCTCTTGACCCTTGTCCTCGAGTGTAGTGTAAGGATGTCCATCCTGACTTCCCCTGAACATCTGCATGGAAGTGCTGTTATTAATTGGGTTTCATAGAAGAGCATCTGACAGGTGATCACTCTGCCCGCTTCCTGTTTGCTAGAATGTTGCCATCTAAACTTGGAAGCAAGCCATTTCCAAAGACCACATTTTGGTCTGCTGCGTCTTTACCTCTGTCCTTGACGCTAAAGCGATATATGAGGATCGTCACTTTCATGGAACCTGCCAGTGGAAAAGTGAGGTTCGTGGCTACTGAAGAAGCAGATCAAGGTCACCTGTAACCACCAGAGCTCCCTGAATGACAATGGAAACCCTCACTGGAATCTAGAGCAGTCTTCGCCTAAGGATCTCAAAGGCCTGTTTTACTTTAATAATGAGACTAACTTTAGCAGTATGTTAAATATTTCACCTAAAAATTCAATCTGGCCACATTGAGGCTGCTTATGTGAAAATATACGTACATATATGTTTTTTCTTAGTAGATTACAAAAAGAGTTCTCAATTATCCTGGTTAATAGCACTTCACAGAAACCTAGAATACAAAAACTATCTTTAAATAAAAGTATTCCACAGAGGTTCAAAAAGTGACAATTTTGTGATGCTACAGAACAAATGCAGAAATTAATCTATAAAGCCCATCAATGAATATCTATTGTGAACACTCTGAACCTTGACAAGGTTGGGGTGGGGGAAATGATTACTGTAAAAGCAATATAAAACATAAACCTTGTGTTTAAACAGGGAGAGTACGATCTCCTTATTCAGAGTTATAATGAAGGGCAGCTTGTAGGATCTGTATTGTATCCAGGTGTAGGAACTTCAGATTTTGGCATCTTTTCTACACGGCTCTTGAAAAGTTGTATAGGATTCATTCTTCTGTAGTATAAGCTTCCTGCTGCTTTTTGATGCGAGATTTATCTAAGCCTCTGTTTAGATCCTACAGAAGGCAATTTCCTGTGTCCCTGCTTGTCGGAATCACCTTGTCAAGATATCATGTCTATCAGAAGTCTTAACCTTGTCTGTACTGAGGATGACCTGGATAGCTTAATGGTACTCAGAAGATGACCTCTGACTGTCATAACTCCGGTTTCTGATCACTCTCAAATCTTCACACGCTCTCTCAGCACTGACCTCCTGCTTCTCTCGTGAACTGATTGCTTTTTCCTTCCCCTACCATCCTGCCACTGACGTTTCCCTCAACTCACAGCCCCTCTCCACCAAATCATACAAATACAACCAACGAGTAATAAATGAGTAAAATAAATACCTCAGGGGTTTGCACCATGAATGTTAAAGTGGTTTCCCCAGATTATCAGAATTTTATGGTCCCCAAATTTTGGGCAGAGTTGAGAAGAATGGTGACCAGTGTGCGCTGGAGGAAAGCAAAATGAATTAACGGGCTAAAACTGGACATACACAGACTGTATACCAGCAGTTATCAGACGCCAACATACATCAGCATCATGGAGACACTGAGAACCACCACACATGAACTAAAATGTTTCCAAATGATACAGGGTCACAGCAAAATGCCATATCACTGGCTCCCAACCAGGGAGCCCTGATCCTGGGAGCCTTTGGACTCCCCTTGGCAGAATTCTAAGCACCCATGGTTCTTACTCAACTACATTTTACACTGCATGAGCATGTGTGAGATGGTGCCTGGACTTGAGAGGCCTATCACTCTCTGAGAGTCTCAAAGGCCCATTTACTCCACATCCCTCAAGACCACCACTGTGCAGTCAAATACACACATTCAAGGAGACCCTGATATAAATAGGCAGAAGAATAGGGATTTTCAGCCCAAATGCAATGCTTCTGTTCACTTAATAGACCAATCCTCTTCTGTGATTACCCACTGACTTCTACCAAGATGGGTATCAGCCAGCCAACCAGTCAGAAGTTTGGATGAAGCACCTGTTAAAGGCCCAGCAGGCTGTTGGCTCAGTGATGCACCCCAGATCATACAGCTCCCACCTCCAGGTAACTCTGGGTGAGGGTGCTGGCATCTATTTATAAACTATAGGGAAGTCCGAACCTTACTTTTTTTGGTCCCATATGCCTAGAAGAACACACAGTAGAGCATATGAATACAACCAATGAGTAAAATGAATACCCCAGGGATTTGCATTGTACATATTAAAATGGTTTCCCCAGATTATCAGAATGATCACAATGCTGATTGGACACAGCTCTTTCACCTGCAGAGTGCCACTGAATGCAGGCAGCTGAGACCCAGTTCATCATACATAGTAATGAACTGCACACTTGACTCAGTGGGGAAAGCACACTGAGATTTAAACATGACATGGTTTCCGATCTTTCTCTACTCCAGATAATTGGCACAGGAAAGAACCCAGAGAAAGACTGCAGGCTAGAAAGATTACCTCTCCACCACATCCTTTCTTGAGCAAGCAGTAATGGTCATGGCAAAGGATTCAGGAGGCAAGAAGCATGCTACCCAGGCACACAGTCATCATGCACCCATCAGTCAGTGTGAAACAGCCAAACCCTCCCTCGCTTGAGAGCTGGTGAATCCTCTGTCCAGTTTCACTGCATCTCCAGGGCTGCACGCTTTATGAAGCTTTATGAAGCTGAGACCTTTATCAGCCTCTGGATCCATTCAAACAAGGATACTACGTTTGAAAAAGAGGTAGTGTATGAGGTCCCCTAAGTGAACCAAATCCTCCTTTATTTAATTCAGGGAAAAACAGGGCTTTGGTTTCTCTCAAAAATTCTGAGAAAGTTATTTAACATGGATGGTCACTCTGTTAAATAAATTAAAAAACAGTGAGTGTATTTCCAAGTTAGGACCTTAATTTACTGAGCCTAGGGGCTCTCTTTGTCCAGTTCAGCCCTGGAAGACACCCTGTCCTCACCCACACCAGGAGGAAGAGCCCTCCTCCTCTTCCTCCTCCTCCTCCTCATCATCATCGGGAAACACCTGTCTTGGAGACTGTGGTTGTGCAGCTTCTGAGCATGCACAGGGTCAAGCACACAAATGGTGCAGTGACTCTTTTGGAAGTCACATTTGTCCCTGAAACTTCAGTCACCTGGAGACTGCATGCCTCATTGCCTGCAGCAGCTCCAGCCTGACTGACAGTGTAGAATGAATTTAGAAAATTCATCTGAGGGACAAGATTTGAATGGAGGGACCAAACCACACACTGCTTCACTGAATGCTGATACAAATCATTCTTTGAAATTTTTGCAGATTGAAGATTTTTCTTTTTTCTTTTCTTTCCTTTCCTTTTATTATTGGCCTGTTACAACCATCTTGCTAGGGGTTAGATCTGTTATGGGAAAGGACTTAGCAAGCCAATGCATCAGTCAGGTGCACGCTCCTGTTTTCACACAGAGATTTCTACCGCTTTTGCTAAACACACACGCACACACACAAATTCCTGGAATGACTGATACATTCATAACCCATTGATCTCTCTCACACACACACTCATGGACAGCAAACACGAACTCTCTGCATGTCACAGTCGAGCCAGGCTGGAGAGGTACACAGTGGACATGGCACTGGGTGGATGTGTAATCAGTAATAAGAAATACAGTGAGCCCCAGAATGAAAAGAAATCCCCCAACTGTTCAGGATTCCCCCACCCCCTTCCATTCACTGATTTATTAACCCTGAACAAAGATGTAATTGCAGGGTCTCAGAAACTTTTTTGTTCTTTTTTTTTCTTTTTTCTTTTTTTTTCTTTTTTCATTTTTTTGGCATTTGTTCGATTTGGCTTTGAATTTCTTAATGTCTAGTCGTGCCATTCATTGCCTGTTTTCTTCACTCAGTTGCCCATCTTTCCCCCCCAGAAATGAAAGAAGCATCTGCTTCCAAGTCTTAAGGATGAGACCTCTGCATTTTCTTTGCTTGTTTAGGGCAAGAAATGAAGTGCTGCCTCTTTAATCGGCAGGAGCATGCAGGAGGAGCATACCTTTAATTTAGTGTTGGGATACCTCACTTGCACCCTGGCTGTTGTCTTATTGGAGACGGCAGCCTGCCTGAGATCCTCTAGCACTGAAATAATATCATCCAGCACGCATTTCTTATCCTGATTTCTCAACACACACAGATGGGAAAAAGTATAATTATAGCCCCTGTGGTTCACCTTCATTTCCAGCACGGCTCGGTGGGTCTGCAGGATCCCCTCGGCCTGGAGCAAAACATTGTCCCCGGGTGGCGAGAGGAGGATCACCCTGCCGTACCTCCCAGGGGTGTGCAAGTCCGAATAGAGCTGGCTTTTGGACTGGTCCAGCGGGAAGAGGCTGCCGGCCAGGCTGCGCTCGATCTTGGCTAGGCTGTGGCTGGGGGCCACCAGGCGCTCCAGGTCGCCCTCGGGCTGGAAGCGGCGCAGCGCACTGAGGCCGCAGGCGATGGTCAGCACGGCTGGCACGGTGAGGAAGAGGACGGGGTGCCGGCCCACGCACACGCCCAGCCCGCGGCCGCACGCCCGCAGCCCTCCGCGGAGCGCCTGCCGCAGCATTCTCGGGTGCGGACCGCGGGGCCGCCCGGGACGAGCGCGTGTGCCCGCGCCGCTCCCCGCGCGCCCCCGCGAGCCCCGCGCGCCCCGCGCCGCTCCACTCCACGCGGTGCCCACGCGGCCGGCGGCGCCCCCGGCACCAAAGCACCCCGCCCCCGGCACCCCGACACCCCGCCCTCCGACACCAAGACACCCCGCCTCCGGCACCCCGACACCCCGCCCCCGACACCAACAGCCCGCCCCCTGACACCGAGACACCCCTTTCCCAGATACCAAGACATTTCGCCCCCTCTGCATCAAGATACCGGGGGCCCCAGCACCCTACTATCTGTCCTCGTGCGGGCACCAAGACATTCTGTCCCCCCCAAAAAAACTAAGACACTCGGCCCCAAAATCCCCGAAACCCGATACCCCGCCCCCCGACTCCAAGACACCCAAATACCCTGTCTCCCAGATCCCGACATTCAGACACCCTGCACTTGGCACCGAGTCACCCCACCCTGCACCCCCTAAATCTCTGATACCCTAATCCTGGACACCCCGCCGACCCAGTCCCCAAGGCCTCCAACACTAAAGCTCCACGTGCCTCCTACTAACGCCTGGCGGCCCGTCACCGCAGGTCCCCAACACCCCCCCTTCTTAACCCGCCACCCATAAGGCCAGGGAGCCCCAGGAGGCCCGGCCGAGAACTTTGCAGAACCCTGGGCGCCCCGCCCCATGGAAGCCCCGCCCAGTCGCCTTGTCACACCAACCCCTAACCCTTAATTCCAAACCGCAGCTCTGGCCTCCCTGCTCTCAGCGCACTGTAGCCTTGCAGTTCACTTTCTGGTCCGCATTCGGCCGCCGGTTCGGTCTCCTCCGCTGTCAGTTCGGTCCCGAGCGAGGCGCTCGGGACACGTGGTCACGGAGGCGGGCTGCAGTGACCCGGTGCAGGAGGCCAAGGCTGTCCTCGCGCGGGAATCCTTCAGTCCTGGGTGCGGGACACGAGTGCTGCCAGGGGGACAGAGCACAGGGCCGCAGTCCCCGGCCCAGACTCAGCTATCTAGAAACCGAAAGAGAAAAGTGAGGCTTCCCTGCAAGGGAGTGCGGGCATCCTGGCCACCCAGGACCGGATCCGTGGAGCGCCTTGCAGAGGAGGCTGAGTGCCTGGGTGCCCGCGTGTGCCCTTGGGTATGTGCGTGTGCACGGGTGTACACGCTTATGTGCACGAGTACGCTAGTGTGTGTGAGTATGTGTGTGCACCTAAGTGTGTACACGCGTGCGTGTTGCAACGTGGAGACCCGCAGCAAGGTGTTGTTAATGAACACAACCGCTGGTTCTGTGCTCTGCAGAACAGAGGTCCTTAATAGGACTCTGAGTCACCACCCTCTCCTCTCTCTCTGCGGACCTTTCCAGCCTTCTCTGTAGGCTCGATTTCTCTTGGGAGGAATTCTGGAATCCAGCATTTCGAACACACTCCAGGTCCTCCCACATGAAGATCACAGGTGGGGGCTCCAGGGTTTGCACACCCGTGTGCGCTGCACCTAGGAGGAAGGCGGCCACGTGACAGTGAGACCTCACTTGCAGACCAGATCGGCTTCAAAAAACGTTCTCCACAGCGTCGAGGAATAGGAAGAAATCATGAGGAACAGTCCTGACGTTTGACTGTGAGCAGGTGACCTTTTCAAAGCTTCCTTTCTTTTTTGAAATGACTGTACTCGTAACCACGGAAGGACCTGCATCCTTTGGAGACTTAGCGAGGAACCCATCTGTGTACAAAAGCTGGAGGACTCATCTGCTAAATTACTGACTGGTGGAATTCACTCTTCAATGAGAGCCAGCAGGCTTACAGATAGGGCTGACCCTGGAGGACAAGAATCTGAAGGATGCTGTCATCAGTAGATTCAATAAGCTGTCCAGTCCTCTAAATTGAAAGTGACCTGGTGACCATTCAGTTTGAATTGTTCCTGAGTGCAGGGCCTCTTCTGGGATGTCCTTGTTGGTTCTCCATTTGGCTCAGCCACAGCCTCCCCAACCCTAAGAACACACCAGTGTTTTAGAAGCACCTTCTTCTGCGAGCCTCCTCCTTCCGTTCAGCTGTGCCAGGTCTCCCGGCCACACTCACAAGCAAGGCTTCTGTCCTTCAAGAGGTGCCCTTCACTCCAACTGCCGGGTCTCCATGTCGTTTTTCTACGGCGTCCTTCAGGTCCTACCCTCTCCATGAAATTTTCTAAGTAGTCTTTTCATGAACTATGTGGTAAGAGATTTAAGGGATGGATGCTTGAATAACTTAGCTAATCCCTTTTATGAAAAGAGCACTAATTATTGGACAAAGTGGGTTCGCTTGGGTGTTTTCTTTCTCAGCTCCTGAGTTTCCCCTGTTAAATGCGAATTGGCCTACTCTTTTTTTTCCAACAGACAGCTATGTCAGAATCATTTGGTCTTCTTATTCTTTCCATTTCCTGCACGTGTTTCCCCCAGCAAATTCAGTAAAATTGGGAGAGGAGAACAGGGAAACCAAAACACATTCACTAAAGGTATAAAAAAATTATTGTATACAGTATGAAACTACACTAAAAAACAAAATTATACACATCCAAAAAAATGCAGCCTGCATGAAAATGTTTCTGTTTATTGCTAGTTGACTGGACGATGGTGACTTTTAAAGAACTGCTTAGTATCAGAACAGTTTTAGATTGGAGAAAATTTGTAGACAAAATTGAAAGGTCCCTCACACCCACATCCAGTTCTCCTTCTTGTGAATCTAATATTAGTATGGTGCATTTATTACAGTCACCAAAGCAACACTGATCCTTAACACTTTCCTCAAGTCTCCTCAGCCTCTGTCTCTGTCCCCTTCCCATCCCAGGGTCCCATCCAGAACACCGCATCGCATACAGCTGTCCTGTCTTTCCACCGCTTTTGAGTGTGACAGCGTCCCAGATTTTCCTTGTCTTTGATTACTTGGACAGTTTTGAGGAGTATTAACATTTTTTGTAACATTTCCCTCAATTAGGAACTACATGATGTTTCTCGTGGGCTCAGGAGTTTAGAGGGGAAGAATCAGATGTAAAGGGACATTTTTATACCCTCAAGGATACACTGTTGAGCTGCTGCCTCCCTGAACCCAGCCACTGTCCTGGGTAGTACTCCTCAGACTTCTCCTTGAAGAGGGCTGCGGGTTTTCACCACCTTCCCTCCCATGTTCTTTGGAGAGAATCACGGTGTGCAGGTTACACTGAGGGAATCCAGGCCCATCTTCTTCCTTCGGGTTGAAGTCTAGAATGAGATTAATTCTGCACAAGCGTTTTTCTATTCTTTGATTTTTATTCCATGCATTCTTTGTGGCTATTGTTTTGTTATACTGAGTATTGAACCCAAGGCCCTCATGCAGAGCTGTCTCCTCATCCCTTTTGTCATTTCTTCATGTTAAAGGACACTGCCACGAGTCACTGTACTGCTCAGGCTAGTCTGAATCTTCTCCTGACTCAGCCTCTCAGAGAGATTATAAGCATGGGCCACTACATCTAGCTCTCTTCATTCATTCTTATACTGATACAGACTCATACATGTCATTGGAATATCTTTTCCCCTTTGGATTCTAATTCAATACTGTTTTCATTGTCCAGATGTTTAGCCATTGGGAGTTCCTTCAGTGAACTTCCGTGTTCATTCAACATATCCTACCTTTGTACTTGTTTTTCTCCTTTTTATAAAACTTTCATTGCTTTCTGGTATTGCATGAGATTCCAGGCTCATCTTCTGTCTTCCCAGGTTCAGCTCTAGAAGGAACCATTTCCCCGAGGAGACTTGGATGAGAGGAGTATTAGAAACAAAGATTTGGAGGCAAAAGCTCCTGGTTGCTATTGGCTTTTTGGCTTCTGAACCCTCCCAATTGACAGAGCAGGGTGCTTACAAATCAGCGTGTGCACATATCCCACAAGAAGTGCACTGACAACTCTCAGAGACCAAAGAAGAGTTCATTGATGCCTCTGACTCTGATCTTTTACTGCACAGTTCACTAAAGTGCCTGCAACCTCACAATCTCAACAGTGGGAAATTTGACTCCATGGTTGATTTTTAAAGTGCTCTTCAATATCAAAAGTGTATTAATTTTTTATTAGATAGATTAAATGAAGTAAGACAAGCATGTTTGCTTAATTTTGATCATGTGAAAAGCTAATGTGAAGTACTATTAAAGATCCATTAGGAAGAATAATTGTACACTAAGGAGAAGAGATCTTTCCAAATCAATGTACAGAAAGTCACTTTTCACCAAAACCTAAGTGGGTATCAATCACATGATAATGATTGCAAGTCCAATTTACAATGAAACAATATTTAGTCCAAAGTATTGTGAAGATAAAGGCAAACTTCTTGCCAAGTCTTGAAAACTGATCTGGACCTGTTTTTTCCTGAAATGTCTCTAACAAAACATAAAAAAATATATATATTCCATTGGGATTATACATATTTTCCAAGGAGCTTGTGCTTTTGTGGGTTAGCAAGAGGGGATTTTGGTGGTATTTCTGTGCAGAGAGAAAAACCTTCCCCTGAAGGAGGCATTTTCTTTGATTACCATACACAGTCTTGACCATGGAAATGAACCCATCTGAGCTGAGAAAAATAAAGAATTTTAAGAAGCCCTTTCTTGGGCAGCAGACTCACTTGTGTAAAGGTGTTGACTTGTGTAAAGGTGCAGCTCCCTAGTTTTTATTGCATCACCAGGCATCAACAGGAGAGCTCAGCACCTGGCTCTGGTATGGCAGCCTCACCAGGTAAGGTGTGGAGGGAGAGAGATGCAGCCCATAGAGGGGCCTTGTTGGGGATCACACAGAGGTCAAGGTCTAAACCAGGAGCGCTGGACCACTGATACTGTTTAAAAACAAAAGATGTGTTGCCTATAAAAAATACACTGGATTTCGGTCCATTTCACCATTTCTTTAAAGTGTCTATGCCACTACCATTATTGCTGATGCATGTGTGGAGTGGTCCTGATTTCGGACAAGACCCTGCCCCAGGAGCTACTGTTGCCCTGCTCAGACTCCCACCCTGACATACATGAAGCTGGGGATGGAATTC